TTCACCAGATCCTATGATCTGGAAATTAGATGTCTGCCACAGCCTTGTTTCCCTGTTTATAAAATACCCAGTGTGTCTCTTTTTAAGTAATTCCTATAGAGCACCCTTAACTGTGAACGTGTGTAGACAACCGAACAGGAGTCAGGCGTTGTAGATGCTTAAATCTAGAGAAGCTCTGCGGTGCGTAAGCTGACGTCTTTAAAAAGTAATAATTCTGTTTACAGCCTTTCTCCAGACCGTGCCAAATCCATGCGTAACCCAGTACTGTACCTGAAATGCATTTCTCAATGTAACTGGTAGCCACGTCACACAGATCCATGAAATAAAACTTCCCGTGTTAATCAGTATTCTTAAAAATAAAATATTTATAATTGAATTCTTCCGGGGAGTAGAGAGATTCTTTTAAAACCACACCGGGACTCAGAAATGTACTTGAGAAGAGTATAGAAAAGTACTTTAGAAAATGCACGGAAGGTCACCAGTATCACCCACTTTTACCTTTGTGTAACCTTAAGGACCACATGGTCTTTTCCTAATTCTTCCATAAATGCACGAAAAGAGAGCAAAATTTAAGACTCTCACAAAGAAAACCTGTTTCTAGTCCTCAAGAGAAGTCCGAGAACCAACACTGCCTCCAAGCTGTTCGCGTGCAATGCTACAACAGACATGCGCAGCCAAGCGATTGTTTCCTCCCAGTTGCTTCCAGTCGCTGCCAGGACTCCATGCATAGGTGGCGGATCCACCGCGCACTGCTCCGTAAAATTGAAACATTGCTGAGAACAGTTCCAAGCCCCCCGTGGATACTGAAAACCATGGATAATAGTTAACACTATTTTAATGGCAAATGCTATACATAGCATGGTCTCTGCCTCCTTCCGGTGGCCAGTTCTGGCAACTTCATCTTTAGAAATAGATATTTCTAGGGTTTTTCTTTTAATATTTTCAGACTACATGTAAGTGAATCAGTGGATATGGATACCGCAGATAAGGGGATCCTACTGACGAATGGATCACAAAACAATCTTCGTGATTTTCTACTCCTCTCCAAGATCTGCATTAGGAGTCTTTGCTCAGTGCTGGTACCACCATCAGGCAAATTCATTTAGAATACGTTTATTCTACTGCTCAAAAAAGTTCCCAACGTGATTTAGTACATAATGAGATACCTAAATGAAAAAATTAACAGCTAGATCTTCCACGTTCTAGCATCTCCCATCATCCTTTCCAGCCGTCCCCACGAAATGCAACCGGCGTGGGAAGGATCGCACCCCTTCTGTTCCACCCTTTATTCTGCTTTTCCGATAAGGTCAAGGCCCCCACCTTTAAAAGGCCCTAACACTCGCTCGAATACAGAACCCATTGGCCCTCAAAAGAGTTGATCCCCAGCAACCCTTCCCTCCCCAAATTCTTAAAGTTCACCAAACACGTGCAGAAACCCCTCTTGGTCCACGACCCGCCCAAAGCGGAGGGTAAAATACAAAAAACGGCTCATGTTGTACTGCTTGAAGCGCAGGAACACTTTGTTCTTGTGTTCGCCGACGTCCGCCAAGGTCATCACCGTCTCGACGGGGCAGTAGATGTCCTTCCGCCGGCCCCAGAACGTCAGGTGCGATACTTTTAACAGGGTGTCGTCCCGGCTCAGGTACATCATGCCGATGATGCGCCGGAGATAGAAGCTCATCGCGTAGAGCATGGCCAGGGCGAAGCCGGCGATGCCGGTGGCGTACAGGCAAACGTTCAGAGCCAACAGATCTTGCCCGTAAAGGACCCAAGCCGCCGGGAGAGCCAATACGGTGAAACCGGTTTGGGCCAACTTCACCCTCGAAAGGGCTCGGCAAGCCCTGATGGCTGGGAAGTAATAAATCATCCGGAAGGGCTCCGAGTCTTCGCCGCTAGATTTCTGCAGGGGGGTGTGCCGAGAAGGAGCGGAACGGCCCAGCTCTTCGGGTTTGGCCGGCCATCTCTCGGAAGCGCTCCCGTCCCGGGGTTTTGGCTCTCTGTGTGTGGCAAAGCAGCGGGACACGCCGAGCGCTCCCTTCCACCAGCGCAGACCCACGCGGTTCCGGAAACGCTTTCCGCACGAGGGGATCGTACGCAGCCGAGCGCCCACGACAAGAATTCCCGCCTGAAATGAAGCACACATTTTCGTCAGCTATCGCGATGGCACCACTCAGCGTTTCTTCGTGGGTTTGGAATACATTAGGACCCCCGTATCCGCTGGATCGGTATCTGCTGATTCATTTATTCATAGTCTGAAAACAGTTTAAACATTAAAAGAATCCTAGGAATACACTGTACAGTATTTCTAGTTTAAACATTAAAAGAATCCTAGGAATACTGTACAGTATATCTAAAAAGTTACCAGAACTGGCCACTAGCAGGAGCCAGAGACCACGCTATGTACAGCGTTCCCTATTGAAATAGTGTTTGCTATTATCCGCGTTTTTCAGCATCCGCGCTGGAAGCACACAAGTCCCTGAACTGGCTTAAGGCAGAAACACAGAGAGGAGCAGAGGAGTCTTTGCATCATGGCTTAAGGCAGAAACACAGAGAGGAGCAAAGAAGTCTGCATCGGCAAAGCTGGACATTTCAGGACTGCACAGGGTTCATTTTCAAATATCGGGGCATAGGCTGCCACCAGTGTGTGTACACACCAGAACACCGATATTCATAGCGAGAGCCGTTCTAACTCAAATCCACCTCTCCCATTATGTGATAAGGCACACTAGGAAAATGCAACAGCAAAACAAATAGATGACCTTCTCCATTCCCCCCCCCCGCATCCAAGAGGCCAACAAGGTAACACGGAGAAGATCAGCTGTTTACCCGACAATAACCCCCTTCCTTTTTTAAAAAACAAGCATGATTTTCTTTAATTTTATAAACTGCTGGTTTTTCGGGCTTTGCCTTTTTATTTTCCTCCTGCTTTTAGCTTCTTGTAAACCTGTTTCAGTGTCTTGTTTTTACGTTTCAACGTTTATATTTTATGATGTAAGCCGCCTAGAGTGGTCATAATTGACCAGATAGGCGGGATATAAATAGAATGAATGAATGAATGAATGAATGAATGAATCAATCAATCAATAAATCAATAAATGCATTTGTAATGTTGGTTCGGCTACTGTTTTTAACTTCTCGTAAAAATGCTTCGGTAGGTTTTTTTCCCAAAGCTTTCTCTAGAGTGACTTCGGAAGTACAGTACAGTATCAAGGTCTGCACATAGTATGCAAGGGATATTTTAGCAATTTCCTAGTGGCTAAATTGGCATCTGCACCCTGAGTACTGTAGAAGGGCAGGATAGAAATCTAATTAATTAATAAAATTCAGGAGGGTGCAGATCTCATACAAACGATGCCCTCCGCTCCCCACTTCTGAACCAACGCATTAACAGCTCAGCTATCCTTTGTGTTGGTAAAATCAAAGAATGCATTTTTTTTGCAAATGATTCAAAAGCTAAAATATTTTTTTTTCTTGGTCATGAATCAACAGCTAAATGTACATTTCCACCTATAACTCGGAAGTATGCAGTGGATGCAAAGGAGGCCACATTCTGCCCAGTTCTTTTTTTTTAAACAACACGTTAATAACTCAATGTGAATCCACATTTACCATACTGTACCCTCTCTCTATATATATGCATATATGTGTATATATATGGGGGTGGGGCAGAGCAAGCATAAATTCAGCTTTAGCTACTCATGCATTGCACTGTGCGTGCACACAACATTATTGTGTGCAAGGATCCGACTTTTGCTATGAATGCATGATTATGCACGGAGTCGAAGTGTGCAAGCAATAATGCCTCACCCTCTGCAGGCACAGGGTCCATTGCAGCTTGCAGCCCGCGCATGCGCACCCCGGGGAGGCGCTCCCGTTTCTTCTACCCGCCCCCCCCCCTTGGCAGGCCTCCTTCCTTCCTCACACCCCCCCAAGACAAAAGG